AACCGAAGAAAACGCAAATGTTCGCCTTTTTCATTTCCCAATCGTTGTGAGATTTTTTCTCCAAGCCATAATCGGTGACATCTTTAGGATAATCATCATGGTAACTGAAAATGGGTGTATCGAAATTAGAATGCATAACGAATTGCTTCGGACGTCATGTGACCAGCGCGCCGGCAGCGCCACCAGACGGCCACTCACGGAAGCTGTGACTCCGACTCACATCCGCCGTCGAGACACATGGCGCTGGGGGGCGGGAGCAGCATTGGCGCCGGCAGTGGCTCGGAAGGCTCGCGGTGATGAATAATGACGTCATCACATACGCGACCGTCTTTCAGCGTCGTGTATGCAATAAAGGAAGCGGCAGTGTCGCGTGCGATGTCCGAGGGAGAACGAACGTGGTATTCGCTTGCCGATGTACGGCGCAGCTGACACAATGGGCCAGCTCCACATGAAAGGAACTCAAAGCTGTGAATTGCAACGGCCGCAATGGCACGGCTTTTCACCTTCAGGGTGGTAGGACCTCTGTGAGGACGACCACTGATGAACAATGACAGGGAAGCATGGCAGGCCCCCCCCCCCGTGCCATGACCGAGTGGCCATTTCACGGCCGAGCCCTGCCTCCCTCGCTCGGCCCATTATTTATTTAAAGTAGCCAGACGTCTTGCTGTTTGACCTAGAGCGACAAGGGTGGCCACTGTAACTCTCGAAGACGGATGTGGCGTGTTATGATGTGGTGATAGTGCTGGAAAGGATTTGGGCAACAATGCCGGATGGAACTTAGCATGCCCTGGTGGTCATGAACGGGAAAGACTTTTACTTATCCGACTCGTTTCGGCTTAAAAGATTGTGCCTACAGAAAAAAATCGTAAACCAAAAATGCAGAAATTTGCGCAATGCGCTCCTTAATCATATGGTATGCTTTTCAAGCCCGGAACTTTCTCTTTGCGCCGTCATAATACCGCAAGGTTCTGGCGGTAGCATGGGTGCCATGTTTCTGAAGCCGACAACCGGCGGGCGACCAACGCATGAGGGCGGACCCACCTTCGACGCAAACCGCTCCGTTGGGGGTGTCCTGGCAGACGTAGCCTGCGGTGCGGCACAGGGAGGCGCCCACCGAGGCGCAGTCCGTCCTCACTGCAAGGGGGCAGGTCAAGGTCAGACGCGCCCTGAAGTCACACGCGGCTACCGGCGCGCCCTGGCGGGCGGGTGTGGCTGCCAGCGCCAGGAGGTCGACTCAGGCACGGAGGCCAGCAGCCGAGCTATTGGCGGCACGCGCAGCAGGGTAAGGACTGTGAGCGTGCCTACCAATTACGGCGACTAGCGGCTGTCGCCGCAGGCTCCCCGCGGTCGCGCCAACGCGTCAATCATGGGCGCTGGCCACACAATGGAACGGCATTGTTGGGTAAGATTACAGGCGGGGCGGTACGGCGCTTATGGTGGTGAGCTACTCCTACCATGCGCGATTTTTCATGGGAACTTTCTAAAGTATTCCGGGAGCTTCTTTTTCGCTGTAAAACGTCGAGATAAGCTCCGGTTTGTTCACTGTCGATAACCACAACAACAAGCATGGGACATATTTCACCTTGTCTGACGTAGATCCGATTATCCTTTACCTATCAATGATGGGGGTACTGGCACACCGATCCCCCAGCATCCCCAGGAGGATCACCACGAATAAGGTCAAATGCGTCTCGATAATCTGTGCTGAGTGGTCATCTACATCTGACATGACCAAGACCTGGTGCAGATGTCGATGATGCACGCAGCTGCGAAAATACCATATATACTGTGCACCATTTTTATGTGACTGACCGTTCAACGAGGACACAAAATGCACAGCTTAATGTTCTAACCGCCTCAGACTAGATGTCTCCGGTAATGAGGGAACGCTAATGCACACGACATCGAACATGACCCTAATGTCCGAGAGCCATTGCGGTTTGCTTCGCATACTAGGTGAACAGTACATAAGCCTGCGCTCTGGTGCGATGACACATAACCGCGGTCGTGCTTGGCACCACAGGGGGTCCGTGAGCTGGGATCCACGAGCCATGAACTAGAGCCAGAGGGCCATGAGGCTAGGATCCACGAGCCGTGAACCGGAACCAGATGACCATGCGCTGGATCCGCGAAGCCAGGATCCAGACCCGGGAACTATGATGGACAACTCGAAAACTCTGGATCTTAGATCCTGGAGAACGCGGATCCTGAATCCTGGCGATTCATGCAACGGTGGGCGACTTGGAGCGGTACGCACGTGGCTTGACGCAGCGCCGCACGCAGCCGGCCCGTGCAGCAAGATGTCGTCCCCTTCGCAGTCTTCGTCCACTTCGCAGAGGACGCGGGCCTTCTTGCACGGCCGCAGGGCGGTGGCGATCAAAGGACAGTGCCCCACCTTGGTGTGAGCTGCACCGGAGGTCAGTGTCAGCCAGGGTCAAGGCACGCGATGGTGGCGAGTGGGGGGGGGGGGGGGGGGGGGGCGGCGAGATGAAAACAGACCCCGCAAGGCAAACCTCTGGATCGTCAGCTTTATCCTTTCGTATGAGCTGTAAGTCACGAAGGCACTTTGCAGAAGCTGCAGTAGTTTAGCCGCCATCCCTATGCAAGCGTATAGGGATTACGCTATCTATGTTAATCGTACATGTAGTGTCTGATCGCCATCTCGGTGGCATACTCCATAGTCTTAAAATTTCTCGGGAGGTCGCCGTTTCACTAGTCAACCGAAAACACCAAATGAAGGGAAAGACAATACAAGCCTTGCCATCTACGTACACTGTTAAAAAAGTTGTAGGAACGCTGAATTTCTAACAGCAGGGCAACTTCGTAACTCTTTGAAACATAGTCACAAGCAAAACGAGGCAGGGCAATAAGTCAAAAAAGGGAGAGAATGGCATCAAAAGCAGGCCATCTCGTCTGGTGACCAAGTGTTGGCTCCAAGGCCGAGGCACCTCCTCATATGGCATCCCCAGCTGACATATTAACTGTCGTGCCTGGTTCAGTATGCCAAGCTCCGCAGGCATCGGCGCGAACACGAGCGCGCGCGACGCGGAGCATATTCACCATGTGTGGGTCAGGGTCGCCGCCGAGTACAGTTAGACGAGGACGGAGGGGTGGCGGAGAAGGCCGCCCGGGAGGTCCCCCGACAACGGGCCAGCTGGCCAGGGGTCAGCGGCGGGCGGACGTAAGTGACGGGTGGGGCAGCGAGGGAGTGGCGGGATGATGGCAAGGAACGGGCCGCTGGCAAACTGCGGGGAGTGTCGCTGCAGTCAAGACTGGAGTGAGACGGCGCAGCGTGGTGGGGACAGTGGCGGCCTGCAGAGCCCACTAACGAGACAATCAGAAACGGCCTGCAGAGCCCACTAACAAGACAATGTATGTCAGCAGATGGGACGACCAGAACAGGCCTTGCACGGGAGAGACGTCATGGAAGGAGGCGCGCCGAGCTGGGCTGGGCAGCCAAATGGGACATTAGTCAGAATGATGGGGAAATAGGGCCCGAGTGATCGGAAATGTACAAACAGGCAATCACAAGCTGCCGCCTGGAAAGCTGTCCCGTTGCTGAAAGCTGAACTCAAAATGGGTTCCTGGCTCATCTCTCTTCAATCCATGATTGGATAACGAAATCTTTTTGCGACGGATTTGTACTTTTGCACATAGCGGGTCACCAAATAGCTAAAAGATCTGCGCAAACTCAGGCTTTTTGGAATTTCACCTGGGGTTTCAACACTTACAAAATGTTTTGAAAATGCTTTCTTTCAAATCACACATGGTTTGCCAATGATTATTATCTTATTGAAGTAACTAACGCACAGACAATACAAATGGAAAATTATGTCGCATACTTGCAGGATGACAATTAGGAAAGCTGACATGGAACACTCATTTTCTTTAAGTGAAACGTAAATGCTCATTATTTTGGTGATGTAGCTACTAGTGTTCAACGACTCAGAAGTTTTTAAGCTGAAGAGAGTGTCTTAAGAGTGCACTGAAGAGCGTCAGCGTGGAAATGTCAGGTAAATTCAGGAAGTTTTAAAACAGAGCACGAAATGAGTATGTGTACCCTGCCCTCCTCTACGCCACGCCCCATCCTACATCCCCAGATCTTTTTAAGATCTATCGTCATCGATGCTTGCTTCTTGTGCAGTGTGCTACGAAAATTGTGGCCACGTGATCTGCGGAAACAAACTCGCTGTTGGAAAGGCCGTCCAGCCGCGAATTAGGAGGCACAAGTAAGTTGTGTCACGCAGGCCAGCTTAGCCATCACTGCGGTCACATAATTCCTTTTGATCTGCAAGCACAGATAGGTCCACCCTCTAACTTGACCAAAACCACAGAATTATAGCCGTCACCGAATATTTCCACTGAATTCGGAAAAGCGCCACTTTGCTTTACGTCATTACCGTGCTGGGGGAGGCGCAGGCGGACTTAATACGGATTTGGTTTTAAAAGCGGAGATTGCCTTGACCTTTTGCTGGTCTTGTGAAAAACCATATGTTAAATCACTGGGAGAGGAACGTTGAGCCTCATGTCACTGTAATATTTCGTGTCGATAAAAAGGTAACAAGTTTAGGCATCTAGTCCCACGAAGCAAAATACATCAAATACAGCGTCAAGTTCAAATGCGAAAATGCTAAAACATCAAACTGCCTTGCATTGTGACTGGAACTGGTGGCCAGAAGTTCATGTGCCGAAAGAGTAAATGAGAAACACAGAAACTCCAGCTGCAAGGCGATGGCACTTACAAACGCATACGGCCACGTCGTGCTTCTGTAGACAGCTGGCGTCCTCGTCACACACAGTCTCCGCGCACGTCGTCTTCGGCCCTGGCGAAAACACGTCGCGGTTATTGGCGAGAAGAGGATCGGCTGTCCGTGATGGACGAAACATACGAGGGCCGCACAGGTTCCCCCATCCCACCATTTCTAAATATGTGTTATGGGAGGAAGACGCGTTCTTTGTTTAGTTTGTTGTGGGCGTTTCCAGGCCTGGTTGTCAAACACATCCAATGCGTCCAACACGTCCAACTGGTTGGTGATTTAACCCCACAATATCCCGCGCCGACGGCTGCGGAGGCAGCGAAATGCTACAGCATTTAAGCAGTGGCCAGGTTTGAACTTGCCCACGACTTGACAGATGATTGTAGCTGCACGTTTCACCAATTGCGTTACGCCGTACTCACAGGAAATCTTAAAAAATGTGTCTTAGACAAATACCCGTTACGGAGCGCAACACACGATACTCTTTCGATCGGTTCTGGCGATTAAAAGAGTAGATGCTTATGCGGTAGATGCTGATCAGATAAGTTTCCGTTTGGTCATGGCAAAACAAAACCATCTGATCGGAAAGGTCCCACGGGTGGCCTTGGCCTCAGTCTCAGCCTTATACATGACTTCATTTTGGAACACATCTAAATGTGAATGCTAGTAAATGTATGTGCAGGCATTGTATGAAATCCCTTCGGTGCGACACACACCCGAAGGGCTGATTGATGTTCCGTCACTGCACAAAGAGTGTGACGACGTAGTGACGGCCCACTGCGATCGATTTGCTTAGTATGTGGTTGATAAGGGTGTCCACTGCAACAATGCGTCAGTTTCATACAGTAAGCAGCCTGCTCAAGATATTAGGTTGGTTTGATAATAATATTGCTCAGTGACCGACTTCATCACGGGTGAATTTGGACAAACTGTGAATTAAACAGTCTAGCGAAACAAAACAGCATTTTTGGGGGTCGGTCACGCTGAAACACCGCCGCCAGTGCGTGTTCAGGACACTATCTCAGCAGCTATAGGCAGATATTTCGAGGCTGTCATTTCTGTCTTAATTTGTTTTGACATGGTGGACCACCCAATTTTACATTTTGGCAGTCATGGCTAGTCATGCCATCAGGAGTCAGATCTATATGACTGAAAATGCTCATTTCAGTCATTTTTAAGCGCCAGAACAATACTATTCGTGCTGACTAGTTGCGCTAGATCAAGAGAAAACGAACACGCTTCTGCCCCACTAGACACTGATCCGGTCGTAATAAGCCACACCGAGTCACGTACTTCGGACTACTGTTCCGCAAACATCGTCACTCAGCATTAAAAATAATAAATCGCATGATTTTACGAACTTGATTTCGTCCGAAACTGGCATTGGCCTTGACGTTGACAGCAATACCGAAGAATGTATTCTGGAAGTAAAGACCTCCTTTCCCGCGTCATCAAGACCGCATTGCTCTAATGCCCATTTCAACGATACACAAACATTAATTGAGGGCACATGACCGTGGTGATTCCGCGGCCGTGGCGAGTACGGTTGTCCAACGACCGTCACACTCTCTTAAAAGTAAATAAACGACATGACATATGCCTCATCAGTTACATATCATCACATATCATCAGTTACATGTGGTTCATCACTTTAACTCATGTCACAATAACGTTTGTCGGGACAACCGCCTGCCATTTGGATCCTTCCGACCTTTCTGCTTCATCTTGGGGCAACAATTACTCAAGGCGAACAGCAATGGAGAAATACTCGAGACGATACGGGGTGTGTCCCGTCTTCGGATCGTCCGTCGCGTTCGTTTACAGCACTGCACCTTTTCTTTTCGATTGGACCATCTCGGTTATCGTTTAATCAACTCGAGCCTGAGTTGATAATGTGAACGATGAGCTTACGTGCGTTCCGATACCGACCACTATTGGTGCGAGTGTCTAGGCTTCTTCACGCTGGCTATGTTAAGCTCACTTGTGAACACGATGGTCGGTTGGCAGCTTTATCGGATAATCGACAAGACGTATTTCCAGACTGTATCGTTAAGTGGGTACACATGCACTCACTGTTAACGCATTCCGGTCCTTTGGCCGAGTCGATGCAGTAATAGCCGCTCTTGGAGCACTTGATGTTGCGACAGGAGGTCCTGTATTCGGCTGAAAAAGTTGGAAGATGCAAGCATGTTCACCGCATACTTGCATGACTGATTGTCACCATAATGGCATTCCATAATAGTTTATAGATGTGGTATAACTACATACTTTAATCCATACGTTTGGGCTACAAGCGATGAATTGTCGGGACTGTGCTCTAACTTTCCCTCCATAGCAACTTTTTTCCCTGACCCAAATGTAAGTAAACACAAATGGGACTCATATTTACTTGTGATGTCAAACGAAGACCGACACTTCTACAAGGCCGCCAAGTAGCGGTTCGCCGCTTAAAAATCCAGCTAGACGAGAACAGGTTTAACTGGCGCCAGACATGCAGGCAAAGGTGGCTGTAGGCGTCCGAAGAGTCATTTGACCCCTGGCCTCTGACCAGATGGGCAAGGTCGGCGGGCGCGAGACAGTGTCCATGTTACGCAATGGGCCGGCCCGACGGGCGTGACCAGAAATCGCTCAGGCGCCGGGCTTAAAATGGAATCGCGGCCGATTCGAACGTCAAAACAGCGCCAACAGGTGCCGCCGAGTCTGATGAACCGGGTTAACTGATCGCTGACTGGCCATGTATGCGCTGACACGCTGATCACGTGGCATCAGCGCAGGCCTCACAACTCAGCCACGTCGGGGGCAGGTTACTCACTGGGCTGCACGCATCCCATGTCGCCGTCGCTGTTCTTGCAGCACTTGAGCTCGTGCGGGCACTGGTGGTCGGTTTGGCAGAACATGCCCGGCCTCAGCGTCAGGTTCTCCTCGTTCGGACACAAGTTGGGCTTCTCGCCGACTGTGAAGATGAGCGGTATGAATGTGCTGTGTCACGCGGAACTGAACCGCTCAGCGTCAGACGCTCACAAGCGTATGGTTAGTGCTAACTGCGCGTGTCTGAGCAGACTTTTCGGCCATCTTCTTCCATAATGAACTTCTTGGGGCCTCCAAATGCTTAAATAACTAAATATTCATCAGATAACTTTTCATATAGAGCAGTCAGCATCAGCTAAGCAGCCGACCTAAATGTCAAGAAAGTCACTCTTATTCTATGACAAATAACTCTCATGGTGCACAACAAGAACGTACAACGGCATAAGCGCTGACAAAAACCAGAGCGATTAACCGAACGGTACAGGAATGGCACCGTCCAACAGCAGCACGGGGCGCTGTTCCAGGTACATGACGTGATCAATGCTTTAAAGCACATTTCGTGCTCTGTGGCAGCACAAGACGATGTCGACCTTCTGAGGCCTTGTGAGTCAGGCAATTATTCGCAGTTCGCAACGCCGCGGCTGAAATAGCCGGCCCCTACCATTTGGACCGGGGACTGGAGATCTGCGAATTCCTCTGTGACATTAAGGGCTGAATTTTGCCAATCCAAGGTCAGTAGCTTTTTACTGACTAGTGATTATATGAGCAGTAAAGCTCTGCAAGAACCAGCCTAGTCACGGCGCTACTAGGATGGCATCACTCGTGAAGAAGAGATCAAACCTACGCGAACAGAGAATGTGGCTGAATTATGCATGAAGAAAATATAGGTGGGGAGTCATAACCTGGATAATATTAGTCAAAAACATCGTGAGCTTAGGTAGTCAAGGCAAAATAGTTGCACGGAAAATTCCGCTAGATTTGGTGATGTTTTGACCGGTTTCAATTGAACAGTTTCTCGTCTGCAGCGAATTGAGTCTTGGTCCCGAATGAGATTCGGAGTTTTTTTTAATGCACAATGCCCAACACAAGTCAAATGGTCAAAACCCACCTCCAAACCCATGCGCAGTTCTTGAAAACACCCACCCAAGTGCGAACATCCAGCAAATTTTCGCCTAAACGGCTGGCCACCGTAACGTGTTCCACAAACCAAAGACCCGTGAACTGATGAGCTAGATGCCAGCGCATGCGTTTTCGGCCACGACCAAGCAAGCCCGTGCCACATCTACGTGACCTAAGAAGAGGTCACAGCCGAGACAGCCGCACGACATCGCGCACCGTCCCGCAGCCCGCTCCGGTAACGGTGCGCCCTAGCGAGCGACGGGCGAGGCCGGCCGCGCAGAGCAGGTCTGGGGCCTCGCGCGGCCGGAACCTGCCAGCAGGAATCCGCGCGGACGAGCAGGATGACCGCACGACCGCACGCGGTGGCCGGCGGCGCCAGCTCCGGCGCCGTGACGTCACTGGTCGGCGTGACGTCATTGGTCAGGTGACCTGTCGTTAAGTCGCAGGCATCCGGGTCCCCCGGCGGACCGCGGTCACGTGTCGGATTGACTGGGAGGGGGGTGGGGTGCGCCTGGGTGTGCCCCTTGCTGAGGCCACGGTTCGGGTCTCGCTAGTCGCGCGCGTGTGACGGTCGCCTGCACTTGATATCGACCTCACATGTTGCAACGAGCTTTATGTAGCTGTGGCATCTCCGCCGGACGAACAGGTCTGTTGACTCGTTCGATCTCATTATGCAACGCGAGAAAAAGCTCGAGGCTGTCTGAAACAATCAGAGGCCAGGGAGGATGCAGAGTGTTTGATTGCTTGTCCGGCGTAGTGATTCGCTGCGTACGTTCGAGTTCGCGCAACTAACTGAACTGCCTTTGATTGTGGTATTCAAGCACTCCGTTCAGAACACGTGCCGTTGGATTTCGTATGGAAATAGATGCAGCCAAAAATCGCTCTTGAGCGAGGATACAAAGGTGTTGCTTTCATTGCATCCTTCTTCGAAAGAAAAAAAATCACTTCTTTGTAATAAATGATACAACAGCGTTAGGGTAGCTTACAGTCATTTAAGTTACGCGATTGGGACTGGAAGGTAGAAAAGTTTCTCTTCTCATATAAAATCGATGTATTGTTTTCAGAGTCAACTTATACAAGCAAATTTCACTTACGGTCAGCTCGGTCTTCATCATAATCAGACATCATTTCATTTTGTTTTGTAAAGACTTGTTTTAGACAAACATGCATTCATGAATGCCACCTTCGTTTTCCTAAGAGGTCCGCAGGTGCTTCAGCGAACTCCGCAATGCTCCCTAGTTCCCGGGCCCAGGTGCCCATTGCGGTATCGCTTCCACGTACTTTTCGAAATTTATCCGATTTGCGGTGAGAGAGGCTCCACAGATCTCCAAATCTGCCTTATAGTCTAAGTAATTCTCAGACAAGAAGCTTGTTTCCTAATGGGTTTCTAGGTCACACTGACGTTCTACAGCTCAACCTCGTATTTCTTCAGGCATCGTTATCAAAATAAACCCCTTTGGCAAAGCCAGGCGGGACACGATAGCTCTGGAGTTCTACGCGCCTCGTCATGTAGGTTAGCTCGACATCAGAAGTAGGAGTGCTCATCACATCTTCGTTGGTCCTGACACCCATGTTTCAAAATGACAACAATTATTTGGTAGTTTGTGGGAGAGTGCACGCCCAAAATAATGTATCGACCTCCAACGTGACACACATTTCCACAAATTTGAATCGCTGCCTGTGTGGCAACGCTCCTTTGATACACCAACCTTCCTGAGCCACTTGGCACACTCCACGATCCTTCGGCGCCGTCACACGAGGCGACCAGTGGTTACTATGCCCTCCAGGCCTGGTCTTAAGCACATACATACGCCCTTGCCGCAAGGAAGGCTCACCGTCGACAGGCGGGGGGCGGAGCGCCATTTTTACGACGGGCCGCGACCTTGCGAGGTCACTCCAGCGGTGGTCCTCGAACGGTGCACCGCGTGACCTCCGTCAGGATTACTGGCCCCGAAGCAGGGGGCTCACTCGGAGCCTGTCCGAGCCCATCAGATGGATAGCGCTTGTAGGCGCATCTTCACAGGACCCGACCCGGCGGCTTCGTCACCATCCGCAGCTCGAGCACCGTGCAGACGCCCGATTTCGCAGTAGCGGACCGTCCTGAATGCTGAGCGCCGTCTGACGCCGGCTTTTGTTTCAGTCGCTGACGTGGGCCCATATGTCGATGTCCTAATCAGCGTCGGGCCCGCTCGTGTCTCCCCGATCTTTGTCACATTACGCGCCTCGTTATGCGCGTCCGTCGCTCTTGGCTATCGTCGGCGTGCGCCGATCGCACGCCTTAATCCCCGGCGTCCCTACAGCGCGAGCCATACACGTTGTTAACGCGGACATGATATACGCCGCACCCAAATCGGCATTAGCCACCGGCCATAAAGTCTCGGAATGCACCTGCACACGAGATTGGCGCATCTCGCGCCAGACGGCGGGATGGTGCCGTCGCGCCCCGCCCCAAACGACACGCGACCGGCGGCGGCGGCGCGGTAGCGCGGCCGTGGACACCATCAGCGGACACGTTTGTTGTGTCGGCCGGCTGACTACGACCTCCGAAAACACGCCCCGAGTCTGGCCGGCACGGCGCGTGTCTTCTAAGCCGGGGCGCTGTATTCTGCACAGCGCCAGGCTGCGGACCGCGAGGCTTCGGCAACAGAACTCCTCGGCGATGGCTAACTAAAGAGGGGGCATCTGCGTTTTCCTCTTCACAGTTGCCTCACTCACAAACTCTTGTCTGGAGGAGTTTGTCGAGGTGAGCGCTGATACCACGTTCACCCGGGGTGACTATGGTAGCCTCGTGGCCTGTGGCTGAGCGTCACTGACGTGCCTGCCACCGAAGCAGCTGTACTCTCGACCCCTCAGCTCGAGACTTTGCTGGCTGTCGGTCGCCGTAGCTTTGAGCCGGCCCTTTTGTGCATAGCGTAGGCGTACAGCTCGCCCACGACTGTCCAGTTGTTACATAAGACACTGCTAGCTACGTTGGGCTGCCGTTGGACGGTGCCAACTGCGCTTCTGATTTCCCAATGGGCTTGACCCATTTAGTTGCCTGATAGGAACCTTTGAATTATCAAATTATTTATAGTTACCAAAGTACCAAATAATTACTAAATAGTAACTAAATCACCAAATAATTTTTTTTAAATATCAATAATTAAATCAAGTACCAAATTTGGCATGGTCGTGCGAATAGCGAGCGCTCGTTCTGCATCGCTCAACAATCCCTCCGCCATTCACACCCAGGGACGCCCTGGGCTTTTCAGTTCGATTCGGACCACTACATTTTAGCTCAGATTGCTGCATTTGACATACGATTTTACACATTTCAATACATTTAGCTTCACCCGCAACTCAGCACCGTCGTTCCCATCGATCCTAAAATATGTTATCTTCTTCGAACTGAGTTGCCTGCTACGCCTGCTTATGCGCCATCTCGTTACAGCCTGTTTTAAGGAGCCTTGTTTCCACTCTGGCTCATTCGATGTGCAACCATCCTTTTTCAAGAGTTCCCAGACACTGACCCGTTCTGCCAGAGAACACACAAGAGCAGCAACTCCTCGACTGGCCTGATGACGTAGGCTGATCAAGTGACCTGGGCTGATCTGGAGATCTGAACTGACCCGGCTACACGCACTGTACTGGCGACGCGAGCAGATACGGCGACCTGAACTGAGCCAGCGACGGGGCTGACCTGGGGAGCTGGACTGACCTGGTGTGGAGCACTTCCTGCCGCAGGGCGAGTCGCAGCACTTCTCATTGCCGGGGCAGTCCTTGTTGCCGATGCACTGGTCGTCGCGGAAGAAGCAATGGGGCGTCTCTAGCTGGGCAGGGCAGAAGCCCGGGTCGTCTGCAAAACAAGCCGGCGCGCTGAGCGCAGACACGACGCGGCAGTGGGGCTTCGGCCGCCAAATACGAACGAGGAGGAATGTGGCGGGCAGCGCGGCCGCCGCGTGGAACGCAGACGCCGGTATGGCCATTGTTGTTCTTTTTATGCGTGTCGTGCTTGATACGTTAGAATAGCGCTGTCCACGCCGGTCTGCGAGAATGGCTGGTGAGCTCGAGAGGAGCGCTTATTTTGATTGAGCTGTGGAACCGGAAAGCAGGGACAGCAAAATGCGGATGGCACTCGGCTCCTTTACTTAATGCCGGCCGAAAGTATTAGCTATGCCGCGAGCGTGCGCTGCGATTTGATTGTAAACATCGATGCAGTACTTAATGCACTTGTGGCGACCAGGGGTGAGCGGTATAAGTCCGGTAAGCTGCGAAAAGATGAGGAGAAGTGATGGGAGTGGGAAATTTGCCGCTCCCAATTCTGAGTCACCCAACTTCGCTTCTCCTCGGAGTCAGACCGCCGTTTCCGGTTGACCTAAAGTGGACCCGTAAGCCTAGATTGATCCTGACACGTGCTAACGCGATTTTGACACGTCCTCAAAAAGGTCATCTCAACACGGTCTTAAAACAATCCGTCGTTAAGCTTGTGAATGTCACATTGCGGTGTCACGGGAGAACGCAAATCTTAAATTCGTTGAGGCGTGTGCCTGTTTCTAAACGTGCTTTAAGGAATAGGTAAATCCATGAATGAGATAATAGTATTATCCTTACTCCTCGGAGAAAAACCAAGAGAATGGAGATGTGGGTACTTTGAGTTTTCGGCAACATGTTGTTATCGAAACAATAGCGGAACAACCCTTCTGCTCTTGTTTCGAAAAAGGCATCTTGCCCAAATACCAACCTATGTCTCCACTCTCCTGTTTCTTCTCCGAGGAATAAGGTTAATACTACGGTCTTTTCTATGTGGACAATGTTCCTCGCTTATGCACTGAACATCTTACGTCATGAATGATAATGTTCATGAAATCCATGGGCTGTACGGGACTAAATGACGCATTTTCCTGACAGATGAATAAGATTTGTCATTGCATTAAGAAGGCTACCCCAACGATGCGACTGGAGTAAATGGAAAGCTTTGACGTCAGTTTCGTAAGCATTGTGCATGCTGTACGTATGTGGTATATTGGCCCATTCATGCTCAGTTCTGTATTACAGTACGAGTTGGAATGAATATTGAGGTTAACCTGGGTTACTCTTAAGATAGTTTTGCTATAGTAGAGCAAAATGTAATCGATTTTAATGGATTGAGAAGCATTTTTATGGGTCTCTGATATGAATTACACTTATCTATAAAAATATTAGAACCTAGGGGAGTTTGAACTTCAGAAAGAAATTCCGTTGAGGTGTGCATTTCACTTAAGGCTGGTCATTGAACTGCATTTCATCTTGAAAATAGAATATTTGAAGATCTCAATGGTTGGCGCAGTTCAATGTGCTCCACAGCCACACTCGCCCGTTTCACTATCCATGAAACCAAGTGAAACTATGTGCGCCACTCGCTGACTGGAGGGGCGGGGAGGGGCGGGGAAGGGGCGCTTAGCACCCGGCATCCTCCTGCCAAATAGTGAACGCATTCTGTGTCGTGCTGTAAAACCAATTCACCACATAACCTGTCACGGTGAGATGACAGCGTAATAGTGATGAGGGGTCAAGGTGAGGGGTGAACAACCACGCAGTTGTATCGCCCCGCAGCCCAAATCATCCCCTACACAACCCCACAGCACGCGCATTATCACTAACACCACCTCTGGCAGCGCCAAACCCGGTTAGCGCCGACCGCCGTGGCCCGCGGCACCCGCTCGCCGCTCGCCGTCGGCCACCGGAGTCCGGACCGCCACTCACCAGCTGGCTTGCAGATCTTGCCGCAGCCGGTGCGGCAGCACTTGCCGGAGCCGGGGCAGTCGGCGTCCTGCTCGCACCACTCGCCGCACGGGTCGTTGCCCTCCGCCACCGGGCAGATTCCCGGCCTCTCTTTCGCTGCGGACGGCACAGAGGGGCGCGGTGAGAACGGGGCTGGTGTGTCGTAGTGGCGCCGCTGGTGCGAGCGCGTGTGCGGAAGGGGAGCCGACGAGGCCGGGAGTGAGGGAGGCGCACTGCTCACCCGTCCTTGCCGTGGGAGCTGCACGTGGAGGCTCTCCCAACGGACAGCACTCAAGGTGGACGAGCATTTCTGAATGATAAGCTGCAAGTAAACTCCTGTTTTGTTTTTGTTTTTTGCTTGACCCACATTATTCTACTCTACCAGGACATCCCATGCATTGTGGCAATTCGTGGTGCCATGACAAAGTGTTCCGACGCCCCGACAAGATATATCCTAAGGTCATGGCGTTCTGCCACTGTCAGCAGCATCCTTGTAGCTGCCGTTGTAGGTGTTCACGGCATGGACTTCCGAAGCGCATCACCTGGCAGTCACGTGTGGTCTGTGTTAAGTATGACGACGCTCTCGGGCGTCTAGGCCAGCTGCACATTTAAACCTGGAGATTCTCAACGAATTTAGATGGCTGCTGCCAATAACAACCACGCTGGATATATCCTCGGAAGTCATTTCAACATTTTTCCTTTAAATCTTGCCTAGAAACAGACCACGTATGGCCCTGAGAGGCCCCGTATGCATTGTTCTCCCGAGCAAAAAACTCCGACAGATTGCAGGCTGCCTGCCCTTCCGTGACACAACAATAAAAGCAGCATCGGACCGCACCCCAATTCCTGGCTGTCAAGAGAAGTTGTTTGCGGCAAATATGCTCCGCTTGCGCAAGCCGCCGCGGATTACAGAGGTTGTTAGCCTCAGTATCCCGATGCAAATAAGCCGCCCTGATCGGCGGAGTTAACCCAGGCACCTGCGACACGCACCGATCCCGAACATTAAAAAATCAGCGAGGACGAGCAGGAAGTTCTGCAGCAGCATCGCTACCGTCCCTGCAAGGAGCACAATGCACCTGCCGCGCCGCGGCAAGGCCCCACGACTCCGACCCGCTTCGAGACGCAACGATGCGGTATCCCCCGGACAATGGCCCGCTATCGATAAATCACAGATCAACGCGTCACGTTCTGGCACCATGAACAGTAATGACGAAGGCTGAGGACACTGAGGCGGCGGAAGGGGGGAGGGGGGCATTCAGACGTCAGGCTCCGCGTGCCACTCTGCTAAGCTGCGTCGTCATTTCCGCGGCGATCCTGCCAGCCGCACTGATAGGGCTCACCTGTGGGCGTGCAGATCTGGCCAGCAGCCTGCGATGTCGCAGCACTTGGATTCTCCGGAACACTCCTCGTCATCATAGCACCTGGTGCCGCATCCCTCGCTCTTGATAGCGGCGTGCAGATACAGAGCTGGGCAGTAGCCGGGCTTCTCTGAAAACGACGAGATTCCGCGATATAAAATTAGGACGATTAGTGCGGCGTTTGTGGCGATCTGCTAATGCCCTGCGCTCTTCTGCTTGGCTGCTGGCATTGTGGCGCAGGAGCATCACTGCACTCGCAGCTGTATATTTATGGTCTCTGTAGTCCGCCCGCTGAACATTAACAGGATCGGACCTTTCACAAGTACTGCCAAGGACGCAGGTGATGTTCATGTTGAGGTCGGGTGTCCGGCTAAAGCACGAGCCATTACGATTAAGCCGATTTGGCCAGCGATGATGGCCTTCGCTTCCTCCATCATAGGAACGACGTGCAAATAATATCGCAGTCAGCGTGCCAGCTGTTATCGGGTTTCGATGCGCGCTGTTTTCGCACAACAAATGATGATCTTCCTCAAAGATGCAACAAACATTGTGCGGTTTGTATGCACTCCAGCCGGCACGCGCGATTCAAGCAAAACAATTCTAGCAGCCCGCAGGATGATGAAGACTGTAAATCTCAGATCCTTGGTTATGAAGATACTTAGGTTTCAAGGAATAATTTCTGGATATCCGAAGGGCATGACAACACAAACAAAATCATGGGATGACACTTGAGCTGGTTCCTAAACGAAAACACACGTGAGATGAGAACGAGCGAGGGAAAACGAAAGAAAGAATGAAAAGAAAGTGAAATAGAAGGGGGAATAGCTCGATGGCGTCCTGAAGACGGACATTGACTGGTCAGCTGCGAGAGGCCAATTATTGTTAACCCGCATCGAGAAGTGCAGAGCTAGTTCAAGTAAACACTGGGACGAAACGACGCTGTGCTGGGGCGGTGTCATCTATGAGCATATTTATAACTGGACTGTGTCGATGACATAGCCAGAAGTGAAAGATTCCTTGATTCATTGATCACATGTCTGTTGAGAGGCGCTTTCGACGCTGATCTGGGGCTATACGCAGCTGCGGCTAGAGCCGCGGAGCTAACGAAGCATGCCCCCCCCCCCCCTCCCCCACCTCATCAAGAAGGCGTTCGTGCGTTGGCCGACAGCCGGCGCCGGTTGCAAAATGCCCTCTCGCAACGTCACAACCCGCACAGCAAAAACGGGCGCGCTTAAGCAAATGGATTTCGAAACGCCGGTATCTCAGAAAATCTGTTGTTTTCGACACCCGACCTCACCCTGAGTCATACTTCAGGGAGTGGCCGCTACTGTAGGTCAGTGGCGCCTGTCGCACACCAATAGGATATTCGCTTGAAATAAGAGGTAAGTTGTACTTGTATGGCAAAAGAAAAGTTGTGCAACTTGCAGAGATAAGTTTCAGCGGGCATTACGCTACTCAGGTCGAGCCAGCTCAGACCGAATCCACAGTTGGGAGACTCCTGACATCCTTCTCTGCATTCACCGCGACGTCCGCCGGCGTGTGCTGTAATTCCAGCCCGTCATGTGGCTGGCGCTTCCGCTCCAGCATTGTACTCGCGCGGCCCAGTCCCAGTCGCACGCTAACCTCGCGCGGCCCAGTCCCAATCGCACGCTTACCTCGCGCGGCCCAGTCCCAGTCGCACGCTTACCTCGCGTGGCCCAGTCCCAGTCGCACGCTTACCTCGCGCGGCCCAGTCCCACTCGCACGCTTACCTCGCGCGCAGGCCTTCTTCTCGCAGTCGACGGGCTCGCGTGGGCTGCCACACGTGCACAGGTTGCACTTGTTGAAGAAGCTGGTGCCGCTGGGGCAGATGTGGTTGCCGGCGGGCGGCTGGCAGGAGCGGCCGCAGCCAGAGGAGCAGCACTTGAGGTCGCCGCTGCACTCATCGTCAATGCTGCACTCGATGGCGCAGCTGCCGCCGCCGCCCGAGGGAACACTGCATGAGCCGGCCTTGGCCAGGTCTGCGGCATGGAGCAGCGGTATCACAGGATAGCGGTATCACGGGGCAGCAGCGTCATGGGGTAGCAGTTTCACGGGACAGTGGCGTCACGGGGCAGCGGTGACACGGGGCAGCGGTGTCCGGGACAGTGGTGTCACGGGGCGGCGGTGACACGGGGCAGCGGTGCCACGGCAGCAGTGTCACGGGGCAGCAGCGTCATGAGGCAGCGATGTCAGAGATCAGCGGTGTCACGGGGCAGCGATGCCAGATGCCACGGGGAGTAAGTGCCACATGGAACAGGTATGGGAGAGTAGAGTGGGTTGAATCATGTTCAAGCAGTATAAGAGCGATTATGCCAAGTATATGCGACAGATGGCAGTTTTGAGTCACTCAGCTGACGCACAACAGCTTCGGTCAGTGTTCTTCCGGTGCACACGTCTTGGGGTGGGTGCGACATATATATGTACGTATATATATATATATATATATATATATATATATATATATATATATATATGTCGTCTGTTTAGCGCCATAACGTCTTGCGATCGGAATGAACGTTTGTATATGGTCTTGCGGCATATTCAGTCTTATCATGACGCTATACCGAGGGATGTGGAAGTATATGTGCCGTGTATTCCGCAAAGCATTTGGCGTATGCTAGCCATGGATTTTGGGGTGGCGCGATCTTACCCCATAGACATCGAGAAGGACGTTTTATATTGGCTGTGCATGGACATCTTGCATCATTGGACTGACAATGATGTTAACGACTGTTTTACCTTCAATATTTTACCTGTTTTACCGTCAATGATTATCTGAAATGATTGCCATGGGTTGTCTCATTTGAAAGGGGTTTATTCTCAGAATTTATGGGCGCTGCACGACCTACGGCAGTCGATGCGTCCTAAAACCCCGAATCATCACCATCATCATCATCTCAGAAGTCATCTACCGAAAAAACGAAGACGTGTTCTCCAAAACTTTATCACTACATATGACGCTGAAGGTTATAGCTGTCTACTGATGTCAAAATCTCAGTAGTTACAGCATGCGGCAACTCAGAGTAAAAACTGATGCAACTCTCCTGACTCTTCCCCTCATGGACTTCAACTCTCCGTCTTCGCGGCAAGACCATGTACCATGGCCACGGCCTAAATTGGGCAGCAGGTCTAACATGGAATGGCAGTTACATGGCAGGGTATCAGTGTCTCTTGGAGAAGTCGTCACCGGCGATTACGTGCTACGGGAACAGCTGTCATATGGACCCAATCGTACATCTTTTCTCCTTACAATAACCCAATGCGCTTAAGCTCTTCATGACAGCAGCTACGTGAATAAAAAAAGCTATCCGTGCACGTGCTTGTGTCATTTTTGTTTTTACCACGGGCTCTAATCAGCGCTGTGGGAAAACATGTTTTGTGCTGGTGAGATTTGTTACGGGCGTCGACTAGTGGTTCGCAAACCCTCCTAATCTGTGAGTTTTCATAATTCTTCCAACATACCTCACGCGCCGTAAGAGACCGAGCGTGATCCATCGGACACTGCAGGTGCCAGTTTATGCTTGGTGAAATCGCTGTGATCATGCCCTCATGAAGCTGGGGATCCCACGCATATCGACTCGGCCGTCCAGCCCACAGCAGCCAAGGATAACCACTTTTACTTTCCGAACAAGAAAAATGTTTGGTCCAATCCCTCATCCCATGCAGCACCTTATCGACGGCACGAATCAAGGCTGTTTCTGAACACACCTACGGTGCAAATGCAAGGAACGAGCTGAGCGCCAGGTGGCGTCCAGGTCATATGCCTGAGCGCATTTGCATAGCAGACTTGACTAATTGGCTGCAACCACATATGTTCAGGAAGTGGACTGGCTGTAGATCTGCAGACCGTGTTTATGTACGTCGAACGCTGGGAGCCTTATCATTGCTAACTGGCATTAATGACGGGATCGTCAGGTTGGAAATTTACAACAAAATTGGTGGCACCAGATTAGATGCTTATTTGGAGTTTTACGATCTACGGCAATGCATGCCATGTTCACCTTGTCCTGAAATATGTAATGATCCCACATCATGGTGCTCCTAATGTTAATGTCCTGGTATGCTGCCGGCTGGATTGCCCCGCCGCTCATGGCGTCCGTGACCCCCAGCTGGGACACGCGACCTTGACCCGACCTGGCCGGCACTGGACGTCCCCGCACGCGGTCTGAGACGGGAATCGAATGTGATCGCTTGCGCCAGTACCACGACTCCGGACAGCGACTGTGCGTCCTTTACCAAGATATGCCATCATACTCGCCGCTGAAGTCTGCGTTTCACGAAGAAACGCCAACCGCCCGACACTTAGAAGCCATGTTTGGATGGGGATAAATAGAATGACGCGAATTATGCCAACAGGAGACTCGGGATTAGACCACCTCTTGTATACACAGAAAGACTCGTGAGCAGGGGAGACTCCCGTGAGCTTGCAGAGAGACTGAAGTACGACTCGGGCCGTTCTCACAGGACACGACTCGGGCCGTACCCACAGGGCGACTCGGGAGCAGAACGACTCGGGCCGTTCTCACAGGATATGACTCGAGTCGTTCTCACAGAGTATGACTCGGGCCGTTCTCAGAGGGCGACTCGGGGGCAGAACGATTCGGGCCGTTCTCACAGGGTATGACTCGAGTCGTTCTCACAGAGTACGACTCGGGCCGTTCTCACAGGGCGACTCGGGGGCAGAACGATTCGGGCCGTACTCGCAGAGACAGAGAATGTCTGGGGTGCTACTCACAGGGTGAGGAGCAGATGCGGCCGCAGCCGGTGCTGCAGCACTTGGTACTGCCTGGGCACTCGCCGTCCTCGCTGCACTCGTGCACACACGGCCCGAACGCGAAGCGGGACGGGCAGTGGCCTGGCTTCGGCAAGTCTTCGCCTGCAACAGGACATAATGGTGAGCATAATGGTGAGCATAATGGTGAGCATAATGGTGAGCGGGCGGGCTGGCAGGGCCGGCAGCGGGCTACTGGTTGCAGGTGATCCACGCGAAAGGGCTATGGCATCGCGTCACGTTTGAGGGAATAACACATTAAGTCATCATGCAATACAAACACACGTACGAATTACGCTCCCGCGCATACAGACTTTTTACATCCTTTAGGCGGTGACCTTATCCGACGGCCAATCTAGCACGTGACACTGAACGGCGTGCGCGCAAGTCCATGTCCTCAGCTCGGTGGGCTCGGTCGGCGGCCGAAAAAGTTCGCCAGTTTGACGGAGAAGCACCGCTTTGCGCCCCCGTGACTTCAGCCCGGTGAGTTCGGGCGGGGCCTGGTTAACTTCGGCACGCTGATGGAGAAACACCGCTTCCCAGCCTCCGTGCTCGAGCGGGGTGCGGGAAGACGCGGTATTGCTTCGTGCTCAGCGCTCAAACGGTGCTAGTCGCTCGGAAGATGGGGCCGGACGAGTCATGTTCAGCGTGCACCATAGCCTTGTGATGACTATCTTCATATCAAAATTCAGGCATTCCCAATAGTTATTGTCATCGTGTCTTGGGTATCCTTCGGTATCCTAGAAGTCTTGTCAAGCCTGATCTTTCGCCCACACACCCACAATCTCAGAACAGGAACGATGACATTGGGATGGGTTCGCCGCAGCGCCAACTGCGCCAGTGAGCAGAAGCTGCTGTTTTTATCCTCAGGCTTTTACACAACGTGCCTCAGCAACCAGAACGACCCAAGCACTGCAACAGAGGCGTAGTTCAATTAGGGCAACGGAACCCACGTGCCGCTTCTTGCTCATGCTCGTCAGACGATAAATTGGATGTTTTGCGAGCCCTTTTCAAGTTGAATTGTGATTCATCTAGTAATTATGCTCCTGCCGTAGTAGACGATCGATTGCCTTTTCCCTGGCACATGCCCCATCACCAAGACTTTTCAAGTCGAGACAACCTTACGAGGTTAGAGATCGACATCGCCAAGTGAAGTGCTTTAGGATAATGAGCGCAAGTAATGACAACATTTGATCATTTAGTGAAATGATCAAGTGTGAAAAAAGACAAAGGTCGACGGGTTGGCTGGTGACTGTTGACATGTTTGACATGGCATGACATGACGTGCTTGACATCTGGATGGCCATGCTGGACACGCATGGCCGTCCAGATAAGCATCTTCACATCCAAAGGCATCATCATATGCAGGTAAAGGTTCTCTCGCTGTGCGCGCATATCTAAAATTCCTGGTCGCAGCGTCCGCGATACTTCCACGAAGCCACATGAGCAAATAAAAATAACAAGAGTAAAGCCGTGTGAGAGGAGCTCAGTTTTTGTTTTGCAGTGGCCGCACCCCAAGCGTTCCTGCCAACTTATACAAACAGCAGGAAAGCAGCATACTGCGCTTAGATATCGTTAACAATTATATGATCTCGAGAAGGGCAAAGTGAGCTTATTTACAGGGCACGCACAAGCATGTCAGCATTATGGGCTGTCAGAAGCCCGAGGTTGTTCCTATGAGCGAGGTATTGCTATGAGCTGGTGCTGTCGTGAAGCCTATTATGCCCATACGTGCGTGCGTATAGGTCAGGTACGATGCTTGTGGTCATAAGCTCATGTCAACAGCACGCTACACCGCATGTCCCGTCCGTGTGCCCCTGCAGGGTAACACTTGATAGCACACGCGGCCTCTGGCGACACGCTTTGGTTTGTTCTGGCTTGAGAAGAACTGGGCCATTTCGAAAAAAGCCAGTTGACGTAAGAACCAGTTTTGACAGATATCCTGGCAGTATACTCGTGTTGGGTGCGCATTTTTGAAGTACGTACATGTTGAAGATGTCCCATATCCAACACAGAGAGCGTTCAAAGCACGCCCAGTACCAAGAGCTCGCGGTGACCACCGCCTACGTCAGCTTAGATGACGCGCCTGTCAGCTGACGCGCTCTGAAACTGAGATAGCTTGGTTTTCGTGAACTAAAAAAATGAGCGCATGCCTCTCCAATTTCCTGTCTGGAAGGAAGATTATACCACTCCCACCACAGCTACAGTGGGCTCTGAACCCACTGGCACGCTAAGACCTTTTGCCGATCGTATCTGCTACAAGTATCTGAAGCGCTACACGACGATTCACTAATTTGAGGGCGCTTTGTCTGGAAAATTGGCAACGCCTTTCGATTCGATGCATCACTGCCTAACAAACCCGCATGTTGGCGCAACTTGTGGACAGAAAAATGTTACTTATATCCAGCAAGGTACTGCTTATTACAGCATCTGCGGCAGGTGCATGCCATGGTGAAGGATTCGAGTTCTCGGCAAGGACTTTGCGGTTTAATCCGTTATCGCGCAGACGGCAGCACTATCGACTAGGCGCTGAGTTACCAAGGACTTTGCTCCGTCTCATCATCTTGATGTAATCACTTCTGGCGTGTCTTAACGTTCCAGTGCCGCCAGAAGGCTGAGGGCGTTTGTGCACAATAATGTAAACTGCTCTGCGAATGTGTAACTTGTAACTCAAGCAAAAATCCAACCGGTAAACAGATCATATCTCGGCACCGTTTCAAATAACGAGTTTGCAACCTATTCACAAGACAAAAATACCTGTAAAACTATTTTGACTTAGTCGCCAGGTGCTGCCTTCCCCAGAAAACAAGCACACTAAGCTGAACCGGACCGCGCCAAAAAAAAAACTCCTGCCCGTCGCCGCGGCGCCCAGGTGGTCAGGCACCCCAGCACGTGACCGCTCGGGCACCGGAAGAGCGTAGTGGTCCGCAGGTCGTCAAGGTGATCAGGCGCGCGGCACCGGAGCCTGCATACGGTAGCGGGCGACTCGGCTTTGTCCCCGCGAGCGATGCGGCGGGGGTGCAGCCGGATGCCGGGGTGCGACGCGGGCGAGATCGTATCTCCCGCCGGCTAAACACGCCTACCACCCCCCCCCCCCTCAGTGGCTTAGCACAGCACGAGCTCGCAAGAGCAGGTCCTTGTCGGGCTCAGTCCAGCACGAGCCTGAGTAGACTCTGACTCTGACTCTGATTCTGGGGAAATCCAAGAGCGCGCGTGGACATTCTCCAGTCGGGGCAGAAGGCGTGGGTAGCAGCATGCCGACCCGAACAGCTGAGGCCGGTGGGACGTGCAGTCTTCCGATGGTGGCAAAATGCACGGCTGCGGATCAATCTGTTGCTGGCACAACAGAACGATCTGTGGGGATTTTAGCTCCTGCTTTGCCTGTGCTCTCTCGCTCTCTCTAAGTCAGTCATTCTTGAAAGTATCTGCAAACGGCTACGACGACTGAGACTGAGCAACTTCAGACCATTGGACATTGGATTCGCTGGACATGTAACACTCACCTACAGGCCAGAAATGTGCCGAACTGCTGATGAAGAACATTCCAAATTCGTTCGAATGAGTTGCTGAAACGGTTTCTTTCAGTGATGCGATAGTTAACTAAGCCCACTGTAATGACAAACGGTGAGATCGCAATGACGCCTGCCGTGCTGTCATTTATAACATGCCCTTGTGTCGTCATTTTGCCCAGAGGCGAAATCTGAAGTCCGTCTTAGTTACCCTGTTTATAAACCTTGATGTAAGCGGGAAGACGTTAAGTTCCCGGTTTTCCAGTTAATGAGCTATGTGTGCCTAAAATAATGGTCTTTGATATAACAGGAGGCACTGGTTAAACTAAGGTGTAAAACAAGTACATGTTATGAGAATTTGTTTTTAGAGAAAGTACATGTTTAAATGATTTGGATATATTATTAGAATTGTCCACGTTTCACGGCAGCACTAATGGTCACGAGTGTAACAATTCACGAGTCACGAGTCTTTGATACCTGTAAAATTGCACGAGTCACGAGCATCCATGAGCAGAAGGCCTGAAAAGTCTAGCACTGCCATGTAGCGGAACAAATATTCCAATATTTTTGGGTATATTTCCGTTAGCCAGCCTCCCTTGACATGCTGAAGGTCAGTTACTTTCAGCAAAAGACCTGATAATCCTACGTCTTTCGCTTGGTGACATCCGAGTCGTGGTCAGAATGCGTCACCCGTCTCGAGCCGGCGGCGCGTCTCGTCGGCGGCCGGCGGGGGCTGAGCCGAGCCGGCGGGCTGGCAGCAGCGGCGGCGACGCGGTGCCTGGTGCCAGCCGTCCCGCGCCGCCGCCGCCGCCGCTCCCGCGGCCGAGCCCAGCCCAAGGCCGGCCCGCGGGGATTGGGAGTGCGGTCCAGGGCTGCCGGCGGCCGGCACCCAAAGACCAGCGCCTGACGTGCGGGACCTCGGAGAAGGCCGACTCGGCTGGGCGGAGGGAGAGGGGATGGAAGCGGGTGGGAGCGGTCCGACAGCTCCGTGCCGGTTTGGCGGCGCCTTGATGGTGTGCCGGTACGTTTGAGGACGTCTGGTAAGCTGACCGAGAGAACGGTGAGGGCGTGGTGCTGCAGTTACACGTGCGCGATGGACGAGTACAAAAGCGTGAACTTGAAGCAGCAAGCATCAGTGCAGGACATGGACGCGACGAACCCATCGCGCCCATCCGTGAAGTGAATACAACACCCTTATATTGAGCTTAAGCACCCATACTTAAGGCGAGCCAAAACCAACGGATATATCATAGGTGTCCACTGGTATGTCGTGTAGCCATAGATTACCGTCCATATTTGGTACAGTCCAAATTTATAGCTCCAGCAAAATGGCTCTCTTCTCGCAAGTCAAGGTCGGCGTGTAGATTTAACTGTGCTGGCTTGCCTTGGAAATGGTCAGTTTTAATTCCAATAAGAATATATCGGCAAAACTGAATCGCTACCATGTGCTGTCACTGTCTCCGCTATTTTGCAAAGCAGCTAAGCTGAACCTGTACCTTTAAGATCCGGTCATGACATGCCTGCAACGTTGTTCAGACTGGCTTTCCCGGCCTGGACCGGCCTTTGCTCCGTAACCGCGAGCCTCCGCACCATGCAGGTCAGCTGTACTTGACCTTTGACCTCGAGCTCCAGCCCTCACCACGGTCCTCCACCGGCCGTGCGTGCATGAATGCCACGTGATGGTGTGACACCGCGGAAGCACAGACCATTCCCGTCCCCCTGCGGGGGGAGGCGTCATGACCCCCGCTGACCTGGCTCCATGCAGACGCGGTCGCAGTCGCTCTGGCAGCAGATCTTGCGGCCCGGACAGTCGTCATCCTCCATACACATCATCTGGATCTCGTTGCAGCTGGCCAGCTGGGTGAACGGACATGTGCCTTTCTTCGTCCGACCTGGAACAGACGCCGGCGGGCAGAGAGGCCTCGGGTCAGAGAGGCCTCGGGATCAAGAGCACGGGTTGAACAGGCTAAGCGTAATTTCCAATGCAAGCATGTCCAGGGGCGTGACTTTCACTGATGGTTTGCTGGTGCCCAGATTCCCGTGACTTGTAGCAGATTTGGTTATTTTGTTGTGTTTTTACCAAACGAAATGGCTTCAAAATAAATCGGACCTCAATAACATCTATATTTCTTAGGCCACCAGCATATCCGTGATATGGTTGAGCTATCTCGTGATGGAACAATGACATGTCTTTCGCAGGCGATAACAGAATTTGCAGGCAGCGCGATCATAATAGCTGTTGTTGAATCGTGCCTACAGGTACTTATCACGGTGACTGTGCAGAACATAAAAAACTATGCTGGCAGTGGTTTTAGCTGGCATACCGGCATGACTTTTGCCCTATCATGACCGTGCCAATAAGCCCGCCAAAACGTGTCAGCTAACAGGGCGGATGACCGACAAAAATACCTCCTAGTCAGTCTGCAGCTAGTCGACCTTTGCGTGAGAACGTACGCTCTGATCACGTCCGCTCTCCCCAAAGGCGTAACTGTACAGTGTACAGTCATACACGGACCTGACATGCCGACATGAGCCCATCAATCGGTGTTGCCGCCACTTCATGTCTGCATGTGGCCAGAATGGCGTTGCAGTCTCACGAGAACTAGATGAAGACTGCGCCGGCGTCTTCTGAAAACTCGTCGCCAAATGGTGCGCCATATAGAAAGTGCGGCATGACGTCACCAAGAGGGGGAGAGCTCCTCTGAGGCCACGAGGGCCGCCGCTTCGACGAAAAAGGCAGGCTTAGATGTGCTTCGATACTCCTGTCTCGAGCTTGCAAATGCACATACCCGAGCTCCGACCAAGGGGAGGAAGAAAAATCCCAAGTCTGTGTAAGCTAACATGACATATATCGGTGTTGAATGTCAAGACAGTCCTAAAGCCGTATGACGCTCTCATCCAGATTTGGACCCGCGATGGAATCCCTGGAAATGTCTTTATGTGGGAAAAGCGGCTATCTTAAGTGGATGCAAGACATTAATGAAATGGCACTTGCAACTACAAAGCAATTACAAAAGGTTTATTATTGTTCACGTAGTAGACTGCACGAGACACCCACACACCCACAATCTGCATGTTACCATGCACGATTCGCATTGTTAACTCATGCAAATTTATTCCTCCTACAATGCCTTACGGTGGGTAAGTTTACTAAGGGAATTAGTAATGTATGGAATGACTAAATAAGCATCCATCGCAAGACTGTTGAATGAACATGATAACTCTATGTGCATTTGCCCACTTAGAATACATAGTTCTCATTCCCCTTGATTATTTATGTAATTTAAAGAAGGGAAGCCATTTTCTGGGAGAATGAGTGCCAAGTGTTCGCGATAAGCTCCCTGTTCCGTCCCGTTGTGCCCAAGAACCTAAACGCAAACAAGATCATATGCTTGAGAAATCATCTCAGGGACCAGTGCTAGGGAACTACAAAAATGATCCCTTGGATGTCACGTGAACCCTGCAGTGCCTGGACTCCCATGACCCTTGCACCACCCCGGATTTCTCCGCTACCCCCCCCCCCTAACCGAGGTCTTGACCGTGAGGCGACACGACCTTACCGACTGCATCGGCCCGGGGTGCAGCACTGGCTGCACCGGTGCCAGGTGCAGTGCCGTCTCCTCGCTGCGGCGCGCCCCGTACGCGGCGGCGCGGCAGGCGCGCCTCGGGCCGCTCCTAAGCCGCCGATGTCGCGTCTGGCTGCTGTTTGTTGGCCCATCCCCCCCCCCCCCCGCCGTCGTGCCGGAGACCCGGCCTCCACGCGTGAGGGGGTCGGCAGGAGCTTCCGTATTCCAGAGGCGTCTTACGATTGAGAGTCAAGAGGCAGTTGACCATCCTGTTTACAGATGAGGGGAGATCAACATGGTTGGATCGAGATATTGCCATAAGTGTGACACCATTTGCACGGTAAATCGTGCCCATCAAAATCAAATAGCCGCGTGTGTGAATGTGTTGCACCAAGCGGTGAAAGCGTTCGGCATGACCCCAAATGGGCATGTCTTCGACGCCGCGCAGGTCATGCAGCTTGCATGACTCACCGGACCACGGCCGCCCCCATATGCAACCAGCGCCATCGGACCGAGACTTCAATCCAATGCGTCTAACCAGCGTGCAACGCTTCTAATTACCGCGTGCGACGAGCCCGGGTAACGGCACAGCCTGTGGCAGACGGCTGCAGCTCCCGCAGGCGGGGTGTCGCCTCTGCCGCAGCGGCGCTCCCTCGGCGGGGCCGCCCGCCCCCGCCGGACCGGAAGCGCAGACCCAGACGCCGGGCCTGCATCATGCATGATGCGCACCGACCAGCCGTGGAGAGCGGCCGGTGTGTATGGGCCGGCTCGGACCCGGCGCGCGCGGCTACAGTGTGTAATCGGCTTCTGCTCTGGGTGTGTGTGTGTGTGTGTGTGTGTGAGGAGAGGGTGTATGCGCAACGAAACCGCACGTAGCTCTCACGCAAAACAAGGAACGGGTGCTGACAGGGCATTTGTTAGCCTCGGTGCAAGGCTTAAGAATCCATGTTGCGGCGTGGATGGCGATCTAACAGTGTTCGGTGCCGCAGCATGCCCTGTTCCCAGCTCAGATGAAATTGCGGTAGCTTGGGATTTTCGTGGATTCTATTCTTTCGTGGATTTATCTCGTGAATTTCGTGAACTTCGTGGTTTAGGCTTTGGGAGCGGGAGGTAGGCGATTGCGCAGATGATCTAGGTGCTGACATGAGGATTGTTCACTGTCCACTTCCCATGCAGTCTGGTAAAACATTAATCTGTAGAAAATGTGATAATTACTCGTCAAATCTTTCATCTGATAATCTTCTGATAAGCGGTGAAAAGAAGCAATTTTCTGCCTCTAATTGTTCCGGTTGTATCCCAAGTGCAAGTGGAATTTGGCCAGAGCTGTCAAAATTTATACTGGCAGCGAAGCTTTCGAAAACATCATCTTAACCATCATAAAATCCAGCAATTGTTCATTAGAAGCATCGATTTATGTCTGGTCGGCGCCGATCGCTGAAGATTAAACCAGATTATCTCGTTATATGCAAAAATTCAATGTTTTTTAATGAAAATGCGCTAACCGACACTTCTTTGTAACTTTTCATTACGCAATTTTCATTTCCTTGGTAGACTTTGTGGCGCTTAAAGGTTACAACCAAGTTACGACTAGTTGAATGTTTGAAACATGCTGATCGTGCCGAGAGTTCTTTTAATGCAATGAATGGGTTTATACGAAATCCGCTCCTTCCACGCAACGCAAAGAGCAATATTAAAGGCGCCTGTCATCTGAAGGTAATGAATTATAGCTTGTTAGTGCAATACACGTGGGCACGGCTCTTTGCAGTCTGTCGTTGTGTAAAGTGAGCTGAAACGTGGTTTCAAAGTCTCCTTTTTTCTTTCTTTTTTTTTTGGTTAGATTTACAAAACCAATGGCTTGACTCATGAGAGTTCGCAGGCGGAACCTCCAACCCAGGATCCTGCTTGGGTCCTCGTGTCTGGAGTAAATGGGTAAGAGGCAGCCACCATCCTCCTTAACACATTGCTGTTCAAAGTAACTTGAAAACGGTATGAAAAGGCAGTCTTCGTGTGTAAGACTTGCTTTACCCAATCCAGGCGCTCCCCAGGGGCCGTGCCCATATCCACCAGTTGCGTATTCCTAGTCAAAAGTACCCAACCGTCATCCACCCATCCAGCATTTGAACTCCACGTTATAAGCGTTTCAGAAATGTATGGAGTTACAGAGTATACAGTAACGCAGAGTTTTGGGATCATATGTACGTTCCGCGAAGTCTCTAGTTCCAAACGTGCCTGTAATTGGTCTTTCATGCTTCCTTTCAAAGATTTCCTGTCACTATTGCATTGGAAGGTCGCATGTTACGTAGCGTCACTCGTCATTTGCGATAGGATCTTTACAAAACCAGCAGATTGTCTGTCATGTTATGACAAAATGTATTACACATCGAGATCAGATGCAAGAACAGGAACTAACCGGGTGGCTCATGCTCACCCCCCGGTTCGCAGATTTGGCATTCGACAAGGTTTTGTAGGTCGGCGCAAGGCTTCTCCAGAAGTTGAGACACGTGAGGTGTGCGCCGTATACGGGAGAAAATGACGTATGTGGTAAAAAGTGTGAGCACGCCAGCGTTCGTGCGGCTCAATGAGGAAGTCGACTCGCGTGAGCTGCGTGCTGTTGGCTCCCCGTTTTACACATGCCACTCAACGCAAGGTTCCTTTGTATGATTGCGTCGGAAGCGGTCTCAACACGTCTTTTTGCGGTAAACAATTATGCAGAAGCCTTGCGATGCGTTCATTACGAGAACCAGGAAAGACGCAGGGGCATTGCAGGTGCGGCACAATATATTTTTAGCTGGTCTCATTACACATGTCTGCCAAATAAAGGCGAATAAAGTGGCGATTGTGCAGGGATACTGACATTGTATGCCATCGTTTTTATCATCTGCACGCATGGCATTATTTTGTCTAAGTAGTAGTACGTATTTTGTTGTTCAAGCTGACAACGGTAGGGTCCGTGAGAAGTGGGGAGGTGCGTTTATGCATACACGTCGAGCCGACGATGCCTCAGACCGAAAGGTTCTCTGCTCATTTCCAGTGCACTGCTCACTGCACCCCTTATCTCGAACCGCCGGGATGGCAGGTGGCGAACACCTGCCGTGAAATCCTCGCTCTCTCCTCCATCCCACACCCCACCACTCCTTAAGCCAGTTCTGAAACGGCCTCAAACCCAAGTTCATCCTATGCTCTCGTCACCCGACTGCCCCTGAGCGCCGCGCCCGGTCGGCGCCCGGCGGCACAGGTGTAGCCGGCCGGGTGCCGCTAAGTCCATGTCAAGGCGAGCAGAGCGGGCGGCGCCGGTCGGCGACGTCGCCGCCCCCTGGTCTGGTAGCAGCCGGCAGCCGGCCCGCGCCGGACGGCTGGCTGGCCAAGCGCCGCACGCGCCTCCGGCGGAAACAGGGACCGGAGGTGAGGTGGGATCCGGAGATGAGGTGAGATACGGAGGTGAGATGAGATAGGGAAGTGAAGTGAGACCCGGAGGTGAAATGTGGACGGGGCCAGGAATCATGAGTGGAACACACCACTCACAACAAGACGAATTGTCGGGGTCAAGTGCCCGGGAAGTGGCCATAAAGGTGGCACGGAGGCCGGCGCGCATGCGTTCTTCAGAGAGTGCCGTCTTCGGGGCCAGTTGCAGCAAAAAACATATGCAATGAATACACTTTACAAATACTGCAAGTGAATGAAGACTTCATATCGATGTACGTTACACCGAAATGTGTGCCTGGGTTACCCACGGCACGTGGTACGTATTCCACTTGCATTAAACTTTTATCACAAAAGGGCTTGCCAAAACTGCAAAGAACATTTTTCCTCTGATGGTTTCGAAATTTCGAAATGTAAAAATTTCGAAAAGAGAAGTGCTGGAAATAAATGTCAACAACCCAACGAAAGCGCTGCATTCGTGATTTGAACGGCCAACGGTGTTTGTCTGGTATACTGAAGCGTTTGTCGTCACTCTTCCGCTGCATCGGAATATTTTTTGATGATATATTGCCATCGAACTAAGATGGCCTTGCTCTTTCATGCAAGTCATGAAGATTTGAATGTTGTCACAGAGTCGACTGAACAACTTCTTCTGCTGCACGAGAGTAAAATCGAACTTTTCTCGCAGATCAAGAAAGTTTGAAAATAATGTCGTGTCAGGAGGCCGAAGAAAGCACTTCGAAGAAAGATCTTGAAAGAATGAAGAAAGCGCATTACCACTTCTAGTGGAAAATCTAAGCCGTCGGGAAGAATTTGGGCAAAGTGTTTTTGCAATGCAAACCGGACACACGTAATCTATTCACGCATGTGCACGGTGAAATTCGTACTTGGAGAACGGCACTCACTCTTCAACGCACATGGCATTTCCAAGTTTTGGAAACGGTCAAAAGGATAGCGGGCGCCCACTTGCAAAAATTCTTAAAGGTTCTTAATGGACTTAGTTTTGGCCGCGAGACGCCATAAAAGCAATTGTAGGAAAGCGCTGTACGTTTTGTAAACAGTACAAGATTGCACTCGTGTGTATGGTGCTCTACAGCATTGTTGTGAGCATTATGTTCCTGTTTGCAAGATGCAAACGAATTCCGTTCTTATGAAACCATCACAAAATAAAATTGCCCGCGTCTGTAACTGCCAGTCCTAGGTGATTAAAATGTTACTGGCAAACGGAATCCCAAACATCGTAAAGATGTAATTTAAATACACAACCTAGATGGCAGTTTTACCATACCTACGACGTGCTCTTATGTTTACATCACTCGAGAATCTCATAAGCACTATCCTAGAACCGATTATTTAGCTGTTCGCACAAATCTTCACGAGCTCTTGAACCTTTTCTGAGCACTGAAATATTTCAGACGATATATCACGTTGCATAGTTAAAAGCTGTGTTGACATTGAAATGAAAACTGATCAGCCTGCCAGCAACCTGTTTTTGCTCCCTAGTGCGAGCAAAAAGTTGGGGATAATAAATCTACTGTCTTTTCACCTCCTATCGGATTGACTACAAACATAACCATTTGACATTACATAAACTGCAAGGTTCATGTATCTGGCCACAAAGTTTTGCGGATGAACTCAAAAAAGTTTTTCCCTGTAGATTTAGTCATTTTTCGAGATTTTCTTTAACACTTCGGTATAGCTATGAGCCATGTTTGCGATATTTTTGTCCGAAATTATGATCGCTGTTCCTTACTAGCAGAAGAACAATATGGCGCGATAAAATGCATCTGCCATGGAAGCCTCTACAACAACTCTGAACAGACAATAGCTTGGGTCCCAAACATAACTGCCGGCCTTATAAGAACGTTTGACGACATGGATCCAGATTCCAAATCCTGGAACCGTATTTGAGACCCAGGCACATGTCTGATTCTGCTCCAGCCCATTCGCATATTTACAAAGAAATGCAGAGCAAAAGCATGACTGTATTGGCGCTTCTTTTGCTTGTTAGTGAGTACACGATCTTACGATTTTTTCCATGTCGTCATTCAGCTTTGAGGCCTTTGAACTCCACCCAAAACTAACGGTAACAACTGCATTGCAATCATTGCCTCATTTGACGAGATTCACGCGACAAAGTAGTTAAGCATCTTCGAAGGACATACCAGCGGGTATACACCGGTTTCAACTAGCGGTAAACGGTACGGTAACGAAGCGATGAATGCAGGGGACCAGCCGGAGTGCGCAACCGATGCGCCTTCGCGTTACGCAACTCTAACGATACAGCGTTTTGGCTGGATCGGTGTTTGGATTATCCCATGATCTGTGGCCGGTCCTGATCTTCAGCGAACACTCCGGAGTGGCGAGAAATGCTGTCGCCACACCTGACCCCGCCTGACGGCTATCATGGATTACCGGCTGGGTAGAGTTCCCTCGGCGTACTGCGCGTGACGATTAAGGTCATCTGGCTGACGAGTTTGGCTGGTTTGGAGCTGAGGTATGCAATCGTGGCTGGGGGCAGCATGTGTTTGGTTGCCTTTGAATGCGTGTTTAATGTGAAACCACATTGCATGCCAGTAGGATACAGTCATGCGTTCATTTGTTGGCCGCACCTTCGGCAAGTAATGAATAAAACGCGCGGCTCACAGAGTACATGTGAGCGACTCAGAATTTGGCAAGGTAGGGAATGATATGCCCCATTGTATGAAGAGAATAGATATGGTGATAGATGTTGTTTCATGCTGGCAACTCACCCAAAACTTTTGACTTGACACAGAGTGGGCGGATTCCTTTATACAAAATATTGGAATGTGAACAAATATTAACGTCGTGTGTTGTTTTCTCTACACAACCTTCAAGCATTAACTGACTCGCGCGCTGTGTCCATTGAGTCTATGACAATAATGAAGTGGATGTAATTTATACGATTCTAAATGGGGAAAAAACGATTCATGATATCCACACATGAATCTCTAATATCCCAGCTTTGGAATGTGCTTGCTGGCAACAAGACGCTCGGTGCTGGTAAGACATAGATGACTGCTTGTGCAATATCTCACGATCTGTCAGCTTTTGGGTGCTCAATAGGTCAAACCTGTCAAAACCTGTCACTTGTTATATTTCGGCACAGATCCGACATGCGTGCAAAGAGGTCATATAAGTTCTGACATTGCTGGCATTACCCACAAAGCCACCTGTCAATGCAGTAGAAGTCAAGCCATCTGACAAACTTTGCGATGCAAGTGAATGACATAATAAATAGGCGTTAATATCCAGCTGCTCAGACTTCCAGACTTAAACGCTAATCTGAACCTCATATCAAGCCTCCAAAGTTTTGGACTCACAGATTCCAAAACAAAACCGCCGCATGAGATGCCCCAGCACGCAACTCAGATCTCTCTCCACTCCACACTCCTTACTCCGGCAGAGACTCACCGAGGCAGACGGGCTCGCCGTTGCTGACTTTGATGATGCAGGTGGCGTTTCCGGCGCAGACGACATCGGCGCACTGGAGGCCGATCTCGAGCGGCGCGGCGGCGGCGGCCGGCGCCGGCGACGCCAGGCAGGCGAGCAGCAGGATGGCCCACATGCTGAGCTGCGGAGGACGCTGGGGTGGTCTGCCCTGACGCGGCGACCGGAGGCGTCTGAGCGGGCCGGCGCCGCGCCGCCGGCCGGCTCCCGTGTCACCTTGGGGAGGAGCCAGTGCGCGCTGCGCCGGCCGCTTCCCCGAACGGAGATGAGCCGCGACCGCGGCCGCGGCCGGGGATGAGCCCGTGCCCGGCGGCGGCGGCGCGTCCCCCGGTGGTCGGACCCTCCCGGACACGGAGCCGGCTGGCCTCCCGCCCAGCCTCCCAGCATCAGGGCGAGGCTGCCCTCTGGGGGGTGAAGGTCCAGGCCGCGGGGGGTCAGGCGACCGCCGGCACGGCGGGCTCCGGAGCTGCGGTGACTTCAGCGCAGGGCGTGGGATGCAGCTCGCCGATTAGCAGCATCCGGAAACTGGGCTGGTAAGCCTTGACATTCTTGGCCATCGGTGCCCGCAGACGGCGACCTGCGGTACGGGCATCGTTCATGCCACCTCGATAAACGCTTCATTCGTGACCCACGTGCTGCCCGTCCCCAGCTGACTGTATTACACGTTGCATGCGATGCATAATAATGTGGTCTGCTGAAGTAACAAGCCTTCCAGAGGAGTTAGCCCAATGCGCCTCTAATAGGTCTTCGTCCGTATTTGTACACACGTACACAGCAATTTTGACATGGATAGATCAAAAGATGACGTATCAAAAGGACGAATACTTTGCGAGAAATTAATAACATGCTGCCTAAGAAGATCCAAGCAATGATTCCTTACAGCAGAGGACATGAAATAGACAGACAATATGGTTGATAGTAATAATTAGCATTGAATTTCAATTCAACATGATTTAAATTTTTACCACCTTTTGAAAAAATGCCGAAGAAACGATAATTTTACAAATATCAGGCAGCATGATAATGATGCACATATCGAAAAATATTTGTCATTATTACATAGCCTCATACTGACGGGGCCTCAAGTCAGCTGAGAACTAAGGGTTCACCTGTCAGTTCGGTACAAGCTATTACACATAACCCTCACAACGAGGCACCACGCTTCTTTAGAAGTGAGGAGTTTCCTGTCAGTTCGGTACAAGTTATTACACATAACCCTCACAACGAGGCGCCACGCTTATTTAGAAGTGAGGGGTTTCATGTCAGTTCGGTACAAGCTATTACACATAACCCTCACAACGAGGCACCACGCTTATTTAGAAGTGAGGGGCTTCCTGTCAGTTTGGTCCCGTTATTAAACTTAACCCTCACGCTGCTGAGGTACCACACCAACTTAGAGCTCAGGGTCCCACGTTGTCAGTTCGATTGCATGTTATCTCGGGATGGAATGATGATAAAGAGACGAGTGGAATGTTTCTAGATAGCGTACACAATCTTCAACAGCTTTACGTTGAGGCTTGAAGCCATGCTCATGTTGGGTCGTTTTGCATTCTCCGTCTAAGCTGCATAAGCATAATCCAGAAGTCTCCTCCGTAGTTACAATTTGGCGTCGGCTGAACAATTTGCCGAATTTATTAAATAGTGAAATTAACGAGAGTAAACTCAACTCGCATCATTGAAATTGAGCTCGGCCAAACAGTCGTCAAGCCAGTTACGTTTCAGGGTTTACGTAGGTCAGTGACCTATGATAACCTTACGTGACAGAATAGAGAACAAAACCATTTGTAAGACTGAATCTGAACGTTTTGAAGAGATGGATTTGTGGATCAGCTCTCGCGTTAAGCAATGCTTGGTGTGTAAGCCCTGACCCCTAACATCCTATCGTGGCATGACAGGTCAACGGCAAAATTTGGTGGCAAAATTTAACAAAGTAAAAGCGCGTCACGGTCCTTCCTGCCCTCTGACGTCAGCTAACCTATAGTGCGGCCGCTGCCACTGGCCGCAGGTCATACCAGTCAAGAACAAACAGCGAACGCCCACCCCGCGAGCGATTCGAACCCACCCGAAACGAAAATCTAAAGACAAATGAAACAGCTAATTGCGTACTTGGGGCGCTAATTTTAAAATATGAGGTAGTTTTACCTCAAGTCGGTGACCTATGGCAACCTTAGGGGTAAATATAGTCTACATTTAAGATGGTGGCGCTGTTGTGTCTGAAAGTGAATTGAAAGCGCATTATGCAACTAAAGAGCAGGTGTTTGAAAACTGGGTGGAAATGTCATCTAAGATTAATCACCTATGATGACGTCAGGGTACAGCTTAGAGATCAGATAGTAGCGCACTGCGAAGGAAATTTGGCAGGAAATATAGGCTATCACCTTCATCCGTATGCTAAGGAATAGCGTGTCTAACCTGCCCGGGGTCCGACATGATCCTTCTTAGCCCATGTTACCGCTGCTAAATATAGGTCATTGATCTGGCAATGCCGGCCGACCGTCCGTCAAAGCTTTGCTTGCTGGAGCTTAAAAGAAAGCTTATCAAAGCAATGCCGACCAATGGTCCGAAAGGCCGTCTTTATCAGACTTTCAGCAGACAGGTGTTCACTGACGAGGCGTTCGCGTGATAAAGGAATGTTGCATACAAGTTAGCTGGTTGTGGTATGACAGAGGACGGCTAATTTGAGTCGACGAAATCGAGCAGGTATAAGGGAAAAAGCTGTGCGGTGATTCACGCCGCATTTTTGCTTAACGTTGGCGTGACGTCATTGGTGTGGATATTTCGCTGTGCGGCAGACCGCTTGGCCTCGGACGTCATGCCGAGGGACAACCAGAACATCGAAATACTCGAACAGCCAGCGCAAACGCCGTTGGTTGACGGTGGGTGTATATGACCGGTGAGTGAATACGTGTTACTTCATGAGGACATGATGATGTGCCTTGCAAGCTTATGCCGCAAATATTAAAATGCAATGACCTGAAAAAGGAAGACGCACACGCGAGGCTTATTTGCAATAGGGTGGCAGGAACTTAAGGCTGTCTTCTTCCCGATAATGAGCAAATTGTTAGTGGCAGATGACTATGACCAGCAAGCCAACTGTACACACTTCAGCGACGAGTGTGATAATGTACTTGGCAACCTCAAGCGGCAAGCTATTACAATGCGCTTCGACATCACACGGCCTCGCACCCCGTGGTCGTGTCGCCGCCGGTGTTACCAGTGAGTGACGAGCGTGGCGAGTCTGTTGTCTGCTGCGGCTGAATGTTTGCGCTAGATGCGCCAGATTCACGCCAGATGCGCCGAGCTCGCTCCGTGCCTATCAACATTCCGCGGTTCTAGGTTTGTATCTGTCTGCCATGCTGGCATGCTGGGTCCGTACCTCCCCACACTCAAGCGCACTCCGTCCGTACCTGTGTGCAAAGCCGATCGTGCCTGGTTCGTGCCTGTGCGCAGGCCGACAGTGTTTGGTCCCTACCTGTCTGCTTAGTCACCGTGAGTGTCGAGCGACGTTTGCTGTGTTTTTAAGAGATGGTGCACGTTGCTATGTTTTACGTCAAGGGGGATGTGGGTAGAATTATGAATGGCGAAACCTACATACAGAGCACGCTATGTAACTGTGAGTCCTTTCTTTTTAGCCGGACCCACCTTACCTGTACAGTTGACGAATCCCTGTGTTTCATACCAGTGATAATACCCCTTAGTAATTGCATTTTACTCCACCCCTGGGCATAGTTTGCTGGCCACGGTCGCCACCAGAAATGATGCGGACACAGACTATCATGCGTACAAAGTCTCATTGGCAGCACGCGCGCCTGTGTGAACCTGGCTTGTGACTGGCTGTGTTTCGGCGTTGGTCACTGCTTGCTCAGCCTTCCGTGGCAAAATTGTTGCCTCGCAATAAAGAAGAGGCCTTTCTGCTTACTGCAGCTTCTCGTAACGCTGCTACCTAACATCGCAAAAACATTTACTATCAGCGCTTAGCGCAGGATGTTGACCGGTCCCCGCTCAAGCAAAGAGCCAATGAGAGGTGCCCTAAGTTGCGGGGATAGCCATTTTGGTTACTCCTTTCGAGTCACTCCTTTTGGCCCATTTGGTGAATGCATAATTTTAAGAAAGCTCGAGGCTCTCCTCTTGGTTAGTTTCCGCGCACCTGCGTACGCGTATTCACTTCCAACGCCCACTGAATTTTAACGCGTTCCTGGATGCAAGGTCGCAAAGCACATACTTATACTCGCCATGTAATCCTATCTGATCGGTTCGTGGATATACGCACCTACCACACCACTGATAATCCACTTGTTTCTGGCAAGAAGATAGTCCAATGTTCAGACCGCTTATCTCCAAGAGTCCGCGCGGGTACGTTTGGTTTTAATGTCATTTGCACATTAAGCGCTAGGCTTAAATTTATAACTAGCACATCATCATACTACCTATTAAACTCTACACATTTGGCCCCTAGTTACATGCACCTGCCTCCAAAAGTTTTATCGTTGTCGGTACGAAGGCAACCCAATATCCCGGCCACCCATCCCTGCAGGAGGTATTGCGTAAGGATATTCAATTTCAACTCCGATTTCATAGTAATGGTTGACCTCATGAGCTTGCAAGGCACATCATCATACTCGCCATCAAATTCGACGTAATCGGCTTGCTGGCCACATGTGCCTCCTGCTAACAGCTGTTCATTATCTGCGCGATGATTTCCGATGTTCCTCTGCCCTGCAGCGCTACGCCCCACGGTTGGTGGCCGCGCCGCATTGAAGTCTCGGCACCAATGACGTCACCGTCCCGTCTATAGCCCGTGAAAACTCAGCTCATGACAAAGCTTAGGAATTTGTAAGTACTTATTCAGTTAAATACCCTGACCCTGGTCTCTATGACTATGATTAAGGTATATACATTCATCATAACCCTGTTAAAAACATGACCATGTTTTTATATATATATATATATATATATATATATATATATATATATATATATATCTCTCTCTCTCTCTCTCTCTCTCTCTCTCTCTCTCTCTCTCTCTCTCTCTCTCTCTCTCTCTCTCTCTCTCTCTCTCTCTCTCTCTCTCTCTCTCTCTCTCTATCTCTCTCTCTCTCTCTCTCTCTCTCTCTCTCTCTCTCTCTCTCTCTCTCTCTCTCTCTCTCTCT